TGACAAACACCACCGCAAGAGGCACTGTAACGCCCTCAAAATAATAACATTAAACCCATCAGATAATACAAGCATTTACATATAAACTAACCACATTCCTTACACCACCGCAAGAGGCACCTAGGTCATGCCTCAACCAGGGCAGGCATAGAATACACCATAAAGAAGGGGGCCAAAGGTAATGATAGATAGAGGATGTCGCATTCAAGGGGAGAACAGTTCATCTAAGAAAATGGTCCAAATGACTCCAGAGTACCATCACCGTCAAGCAACCAGTTTAATAAAATACAAAAGAACTGTATATACTGGCATACCTAAGTAGGATGGTGTAGACGTGCCCGCGTGAGGCCTTCGTGCTACAGTTCGGACTCGAATTGTCACGGTTCTTAATCTGAATCAAAGAGTCCAAATCCGGCAAATCGTTTTGAGAAAACAGATTTTTAGAAAAGAAGTGCCAAACATGGACTATTTTGCCAGATGCAGAGTCGCCACCTAAATATTTTATTTTGGAAAAATTTAGGAAACCCTGACTCGGTGCCAAAGGCCACGTGTCCGTCATCACCAAAGTTGCCTCGGCTCAGGAACTTGGGTACGATTGGGAAAGGTCAGCTATGAGCACCCCCGCTCGCCCGATCAAAGATCGGCCTCTACTGACCATCATATTTTGTTTTGAAAACATTATATGCTCTTATTCCGGTTATTAGCCTAGAATTACTATGTTATACGCACAGCAAACAAGTATAGACCAAATCGCCTAAATTGGAACAAAACATTTCATGTTTGTTTTGAAAATGATTTGCTACTTGCAAGTAGGCTAAAATGCAGATTTTGCCAACCTCAAGTAGGCTTTAGAAAAGATGGTTTTGCCACTATCTAGTGGGCTTAAAACTCACAGTTTTAGTGCATTATTCCAATTTAGGCAATTCAACCTCCATCCACAGGCACTCAAGCAGTTATATCACATAAGCAGCTAGCCGCATGGTAAGTATGCTGTCGTGGCAACACTCACACACATGCAAGGATGCTAAAGCATGAGAACTTACCGAGTACTCCGAGCCAAAACAAAAGCTAGTTAGTAATCAATGCATGATCCTAGCTCATGTTAAGATGGCTAATATAACACATACAAGATGCAACTACAATAGGCTCGGCTATTTTAAGATAGCATGTGATGATGCTACAACTAACATGTATTCAACTTTGGAATTGAAATACAAATGCAGTTAGTATGATGCGCCGAGCCCGGTGCATGTAAGACAAATGTATGGATCCACGCATGCTATCATACTGTATGCTAATTGAAACATGCCCTAGACTAGCCATCGAAAGCTAGTAAATGAAAGGGAAGAAAGACGTAGGGTTGGGAGACATACACACACTCACGCACACTTATTACACAATTGCCCTCGCTCGGAGGGTTCGAATAAATGTTACAGTCCGAATAATGAATCAGCTATCCCAGCTAATTAATTATTTCAGACCCTTAATTAATTAACAAATTAATTACAAAAATAAACTAAATGTGAAGCTTAAAGAGACTGCCGCAGCTCTGCCTCGGAATGCACGAATGACGCATGCTTGACTCGCCCTGCTCGGAAACTCGCTGCCATAGCACTGTTGCCTCTGTTTACACTGCCTTGCCCCTCTGAGGATCACATAAATTTCCAGAACTGCTTTGAATCACTCCTTGAGTGCTCTGGAGTGTCACCAGCCAGAAAGAAATTCCACTGGCCATGGGAATGGATTATTAGCCAAATCTTATACTCTCGGCCAAACATGTTTTGTCGGTCGGCACTCAACATTGCCGGTCGGCCAAATCTTCCTGCAGAACCTATTTTGACAGGACAGCAGCAGAGGGCAAGCAGTGTATGGCATGGAATTTTCAAGCAAATGTATGCATGGACACACTCCCTATCATGCAATGAACTCCAGGAAGTATGGCCCTCAACCCTCGGGCCATCAATTGCGCATTTCGATGCATGATGGCCTAAGAGGCCAAGTTGAAAATCAATGTAAACGCATGCAAACAAAACAAATGAGTGCCAATGCCCTATCATGTTGAGGTCAAGGGCGTCGGCGACTGAGGGTTGGGACGTGTTTCGTCACTTTGGGTACGAACACTCCCCACCCCTCATGCTTGGTTTAACACCCCAAACTAAGCGATGCAATGCATGTATGCCATATATAATGCAAAGTGATACAACTCATGCAAGGCTACGCTAATGCAATATGAATATGTCAAGCATACAACAAGACTATATAATGCGACTTAGCTAAGTAACATGCAAACATGATGCAATATAAGCATGCAACCAATGCAATGCAACATGTCAAACATGCAAAGCATGCAAGGATGGACTTATACTGAAATGAGAAGGCCTCAGCCCACCCCAAAACAGTGGCCAAAAGTGCCCAAAATGATGGACAAGTGCTCATGCAAACACGCATACCAATGGGCCCAAGACTAAGATGTAAAAAGAAGCATTCTACTACAACTCTCATGATCACTCATAGCATGGATTATTCAACTAAAGAACGGAGTTTCAATGCATCAAAATACACCCCAATACCCATTGATATGGCAACCCAAGACCCCAAACATATAGGCGTACACAAAAGCCCAAACATGGAGCATAAGACCACACCTCTTTAAGGCATTAAAAGAGGAACAAATGCAAGTATGTAAGCATCAAACATGGACTGAAATGACCTAATAAGTGATTCTAAATCACTGAAATAGTCTAGCCAATACATGCTAAAGACTCACACACCCGATACCAACATGTTAGAATGCAAAGGGGCCATACAAAACATATCAAATACGACCAAGCCAGCACCCAACAGACCTCAATCATGATAAATAATGACCAAAAGCTTCACAAAGCTAGGTAAAAATTTGCAAGCATGAGGGTTTAATGGCTAGATGCATTTCTAGGCAAAATGGGGGAATACAAAGCAAGTGTATTAAGCATGGGAGAGGCCATTAATCCGACCAAAAATAGAGACATATTATGACCAAACAACACCTAAAAACCTCTGAAATGGAGCCAAAAACAACCAAGCACATATGCTACCCTTATGAGGCCAAAGCATGCACAAATGAGAGACAAAGGGGAGAGGGGTGTCCCTCCCCTATGCAAGGCCTCAAAACCCCTTCTTCACCACTAAAAATCTTCTAGAATTCAGTGGTGAGAAGGCCAATACACCAAAGTAACCAAAGCTTAACAAAGGAAGCACAAAAAGGGCCAAACAAGGCCTTAGAGGGGGAGATCGACCCCCAACACCAAAACAACCTGAATGAAGTATCTTAAGCATGAAAATGTAAGACTTTTTTCAGTTATGCACAAAGTCTAAAATAGTAAGCAAGATAGGCTAAAGGCTAGTGCAAGATTGGAGAATATAAAGTAAGTAATGTTACCTTTGAAGAACCCTTGAAGAACAGCAAGCTCAGGCCCCTTCTTGTGATCAAAATCAGCTCAAAACTTTAAGAACAAACCCTCAAAGCCTCCCAAGTCGAAGTATGGTGTAATAGTGTGTGTCTTAGTGCAATACTATGAACTAAACACACTTTTAGGCTATAAAACACACACAAAATGAAGAGAGAGAGGGAGATATAGAGAGAGAAAGTGTATAGCAGATATATATATATATATTTTGCTCTAGTTTTTGCTGAACCAAAACAAAGGAGAGGGTGGAGCTCTTATATAGGCAAGGGAAAGCTTAAGCTTCCAAGGGAAGCTAACCAAGGGGTCAAGGCTTTCTAAAGAAGCCAAGGCAAAGGGGCCAAGGCTTCCTTAGGAAGCTAGGACAGGTGTCCAAGCTTCTTGAGGAAGCTAAGACAAAGGTCCAAGCTTCCTCAAGAAGCTAGACCAAAAAGGTGCAAAAGGGACAAAATAGCCACACTCGTGCACGGGGGCAGGGTTTGTGCATTCCAGCTGGCACAGCTAGCATGCACCATGTCTGAAAACGGTAAAAAGGTGGTACCGGCCAGAAAAGGAGGCCATCGGCCAAACAGATGATCGACCGACCACACCAAGTGCCGACCGGCAAATGGTATATTTCACCAATGGATGGTAGCAATAATACACGGCCGATGGCCTCAAGCCAAGGCCGGTGGGGGTCAGAAGGAGCTAACAAGCCACTCTCTACCCTTAGGTGCAAAAACAAACAGGTCCTTGGTGCAAAACCACGCACAGGGCAAACAAGTCGAGAGATCTTGAGGCAACTCGCGTAGCCAAGACCTCCGAGAACTCAAAACAAACACAAGCAGGGATGATCACTGAACGTTCGAATGGCGACGTCCAAGTCTTGAGGAAAGTCAAAAATGGGGTGTCTACAGATGGTTGTTGAGTATATGGCATAATGGAGCTTAAAATTGCATGAAGAAACTCTTTATTATATTACTAATAAACTCACACAGAAGAGGGGAACCAAACAAGGGTGAGAGAGAGGAGACTAGGAGGTGAGACATACAGATTTGAGAGGGGGGGAATCAACAGAGTGAGAACCAAAAGGTAAGAGAGAGAGTTCAGTCCAATCAATATCCCAATGAGAAAGATGATGATAACCCTTACAAGATAAGGGTGATCTCTCAAGAACCATTACATGTATCCCTTGTAGATTAAAAAAAAAAAATTATCTGATTGAAGTTAAAGTGTAATAATCTTGCATATTAGTAAGGTTACACTATATAAACAGTCATGTAGGGCAAGACAACCAAGAAAGGCAAGCAAAACATCCCAATCGGTATTTTTCTCACTTTCAAGTGCATATAGGAAGCACTTTGATACATAAGCACAATGTGTCATCATGCAAACGCATTCAAAGATGGATGTAATGAAGTAAATGCATACGTAAAGAGTCGTGCTTATCTGAAACTCGACATATGTCTTACATCCAAATATGATATACATCTAAACAAGTTAAACAAGACATTCAAAAAACAGCCCAACCTCTTTGTTTGAAGCTTTGCCACGATCATTTTTAGGGACTCTGTTGCTCTAACAAATTTTTGAATAAATGGCTTCCATCTTGCTAGAACTAAAAGAGATAGCTGCCTTTGGCTCTTCCGTAACCGATTCCTCAAGTCCCTCGATACCAACCTACTCAAGAAATACTTGAGAAATCAACAGTCCCCAGTCTTTTACGTTACCCCAACATCAAGGGAAAAAATAAACGAATAAAGAGGACTCAACATGTAGTGATCTTCTTACCTTTGTGTTATCATTCATTTCTCCATCCTTCAGCTTCTTCTTCACCAATTCCTTTGCTCGAATTGCATACCTCGTTGGTTGCATAAATCCTTACAAAACAATATAAATATAGTAATAAACAAATACATAAAATAAAACAAGTGAAACAAAATCCTTTTCTTTTTGGGAGTTACTTCCTCTTCCTTTTCTTTGATGTATGGAACACTAAAAACTGTTAAAAGCCCTGAGTCAACCTCACCTAAACGCCTCTCAGGTCTTGACCTTTCCCAATAACATAGATAGCATCATGTCAACAAAACAAAACAAACATTCATCAATACAGATAATGATAAGCACGTCGAGATATTGAGTTCAATTTAATATAATAACATTAAAAGTCGACTCAATTAATGAATGAAAGACAATACGAAATAAATATCCTCAAAGGTTGTATGAACATTAACAGAAAAGCAAAAGTCACAGACCAAATCTTGTTCAAATTAATGCCTCGGTACTTTGGCAGTATCTTTGCTCCCTGGAGCAGCCATGCAATATCTAAGGCCACCTGTTCTTTTGACAACTGTCACAGAGCGCCAAACAAATTGAAAAGAATTGAGTGTGCCACAAAGTGGGGAATGAAAAAGGACATATCAAGAGGGGAAAGATGCAAGGATTACATATATATATCAATTGAGAATAATCCATCAATGAAAAAAAGAAAAGAAAAAGAATCCATGGCCATAAATGAAACAAATATGTTTTTCCCTTTTGTAGATCAGGAAAAACAAAGTATATAAATAAAAAATCAACACGAAAGAAAAAGAATAGATGTTGGGAGGGGGTGCTAAGAACTGAATTAGTCTTGGATTTTCATGAAATGCAACCAACAATGATTTAACTAGCATTTGAGACTTCTTTTATGTTTTAAATGAACCATCCTAAGTATCATTAATTCTTCTTTGATGCTAGAAACACAACCACTACAAGGAGTACATACGTTAGCTCGTTCTTGCCGAATATATGCTTCGATAGTGTCACCCTCCATCTCAAAAAATTCAAGTAGCACTAATACGGATGTAAACGCGGCCTTCTTCTCCTTGCCCGCCAAAAGCAACTTCTTTTGTTCATTGTAGGATGTGGGTTTGTACTCCTCACAAATTAGTGCTTCCAACTTACTTAAGATATATTGGTGGATAGATATGCGACAAGCACCCTGATAGAATCGTCTGTTTTTTCTGCAGGAATGTTAATGTTCAAGATCAGCAAGCTTCGCAAAATTTCTCATCAATGCCATCACACAATTTTTTAAACTATTAAAAGGGTAAAACATTAATTCTTTGGCAACCAATTTGAGCAAAAATGCAGTCAATTGATTAGAGAGAGGGAGAGAGAGAGAGAGGGAGAGAACCTCTATGACCATGCTCAGCTCTACAAGCAACTCAAAGAAAGGTTTTCTAGGATTCCACATCTCAAAAAATATTGATGACCTGGAAAACAGAGCTCTGGCCACACACACACACAAAAATAAATAAATAAATAAAATCTACGGTAAATGTCCTCCTCCACTTCGAAAAGGTAACAAAAAGCTTTGAATGGAGATAAGTAGATAATAAATAGTCGTAGTTCCATACGATATTGATTCAACAGCTGTATTTAGTGGCGGCTTCCCTTCTAGGTACCACAAAGATTGTCCAACACCATAACACCTGTGATCAAATGAAGCTCCATGGCGAATAAATAACTCGATAAAGTCATAGTTATAAGTACGAGCCAGTGTATGCATCATGGGCAATCTGAATGTGTCACTGCTGTAGAAATCAACTGTCTGACTGGTCTCTCCTTGAAGCAATGCGGCAGCACATTTAAGGGCTCCATAGTCAAAAATCCATTCCCAGTGCACCAGCGGCACCACATCAGCTTTATATTTTTGGCGATTAATTCTGGACACAAATTTATCCTTATCATCATCGATGATTATACTCCTAAGTTCGCAGTCCTCTTTTGGAGAGATGTCAAGCCCTAAATCAAAATTATCGCTGCATCTCTGGTAATGTGGACATAATTGAAAGACCAGATCACATTTGAATTTCATCGATATAAAACAAAACTTCATAATTGTAAAGAGAAATAAGAGGACTTTGAATGATATACGCGGACACAATTTTTTTTTTCTATGTGGACATAGAAAAAAAAATAGATGATATACACGGACTTTGAATGATAGAGCACTTAGCATACCTCATCATTCGAACCCATCAACACTTGCTAAAACTCAAAGATGCCTATCCTTCATACCAACAAAAGATTTCATCATTATGTAAGAAGAAAAGAAGAACATGAATATTTACCTACTTCACTCCACAGTAGTTCGAAATATTAATTTGTAAGTAACCATTGTAACACAGTTATTATACTAAAGAATTAAGGAAGAGAGAAAGGAATCACAAAATGTGATGTTTAGAAGAGCAACAATTTAAAGCAAGATGACAACATCAACATTCGATACATTCAATCGATTTGCCAAATCCTATCTTTGAACAAACCACAAGGGCTGAACTTCCTACATATGTACACATATATTACATAGAGCTAAAGAGAACGCCCGAGGTCAAGAAATGTGTCCAACACTTCTTAGGTGTCTGCGACTAAGAAATTAATACATGATCGACACTGTTACACTTACAAAACATGATTATCAAAATTTTGGAATTTGATAAATCACTATCTTATACAAGTTGGAAATATATATCTGTAGACGTCCCCGAACGCCCCGGGAGGAACGAGCTCCTGTTCCGTTCATTTGGGGTCACTACAGCTCAGGACTCTCAAATTGTCACGGTTCTAAGTCTGAACCAAAGAGTCCAAATCCGGCAAATCGTTTTGAGAAACAAATTTTTGAAAAGAAGTGCCAAACATGGACTGCTTTGCCAGATATAGAGTCGCCACCTAAATGTTTTTTTAATGGGAAATTTAGGAAACCCTGACTCGGTGCCAAAGGCCACGTGTCCGTCATCACCAAAGTTGCCTCGGCTCGGGAACTTGGGTACGATTGGGGAAGGTCACTTCGTGAGCACCCCCGCTCGCCCGATCAAAGATCGGCCAAGGCACAAGAGCCCTAGAAAGAGGAGGGACTATAGCATAGATAAGGATAACACTCTTAGGGAGTTTATCTTTATCTCTTGGAGAGTCCAGAATAAGCACTGAGCAAGAGTCCATTGAAGCTAGGCTTCTATTGGGACTAGGATTGAGTTTGCTATAAAAGAGAGGCACCCCCATGGGTCTAAGGTACGCAATTTATATTCTGTCTAGTGAGATTAGCACTATTCATTATCTTTGAGAGATATACTGACTTGATCGTCGGAGTGCCCCCGGGTGGAAGAACCACCGCCGGAGCC